TGCGACAGTCTGTGGAAAGGAAAGGGTTGGCGAGTTCAATGATACTATCATGTGTGAGTGCGACTCGAACATCGTCGCAGCGAAACGTAGACTGACCTTTCCATGCTAGACTACCCCAATGCCTGGAATCCAAAGAGTCCCGAGAACGGTCATGTCTGCATGTCTGTCGACGAGAGCGGACCTTCTTTTGACGTTGTCTGGAACTGGCCTGAGAACATTGAGGATGTGCACTCGTACCCCTACGTTCGTCTCAACCACGATAATCTGCCCACGAAGCTGAGCACCATTCGCGAAATGAAGCTCAAGACCGACTGGACCATGACTCTCGGTAACCCCAGCAGCCCACCCCGCGACTTTAGCACAAGCACCTGGGACGACAACAAGGAGGAGCTTCTCGAGGCTGGCGTCATTTGCAATGCTGCTTGGGATTTCTTTTTCGATGGGGACCGCATGAACACGTACAACCCAGTCAACTCGTCGTACGAGGTCATGATCTGGCTCGGTAAAATCGGCTCCGGCGCGCAGCCGCTCGAGGGTGACAGTATTTTGACTAACATGACTGTTGGTGACCACGAATTGTATGTTAAGTTATCACCATCCCCATTTGTTCGGCTATGTACTCACCGAATAGCTCTCTGTGGTACAACACCAACTCTGGCGGCCGCCATGTCTTCACTTGGGTCACTCGCGATGGTCAAGATGTGAACGAGTTTGATGGCGATGTTGCACCTCTTCTCGAATACATCTTGTCCAACCCTTCCGATATCGAAGACTTCCCCTCCGACCCCTGGCTGGGCCTTGTTGAATTCGGTTCGGAAACATGGTTCTCTACCGAGAATGTAACTTTCTCGGCTGCCAACTTTGGAATGGAACTCGACGCCGATGGATACGATGGTGCTCGCGATGACGACGACAGCGGTAGCAGCAACAATAATAACAACAATGGCGGCTCCAGCAACGACAACGACAGCGCCGGCGCGGCCATCAGCCTCTCAACGCTGACTCTGGTTACGCCCGCGGTCATGGCACTAGCGGTTGCATTTGGTTTCTAAAGCAACGTGGGAGATCCGTGTACGAGTAGCCAGCGGTTCGCGACATGTTGCGGGGTTCTTTGCACGGAGTTGGCGGGTTGGTTCGAATCATGCTTTATGCTCTCTATTAGACCAAAGATCGCAATTTGCAAAATGGATGGTGCTGTTTGTTGCATCTGTTCGTCATTGACCATTATCCTGGCTGTGTGCAGTCCTCAAACGCGTTTCCGCCAGCACTATGTGCAACAAACGCGACAAGCAAAGTCGAATAACAACGAAATAAACGCATGCTTCGAGCCCACATGCAAGTACATCATGTCACTTGCGTCCGAAATTTTGTATCTGATTCGTATAGCGTTTGCTGTGCTGGACTTTGTATTCCAGGACCTGCTGGCGTGGTCCTCCCCGGATTTTCGTTAGGTCCTGTCTGATCAACTCGAATCGGGGGCGCCGGTTCGTCGATCGCGCGTGATTTTAGGTACGGCTATAGTAGTAAGGTTCAGGCCCGCGGGCATCGACTTTATTTCGACCTCATCGCTCACACGTCGAGTTTTAGAGGGCACCATCACGACGATTGCAAGACGCAACATGCTGTTTACCATTTGCTCGCAACGCTAGAGGCAGCAGCAGACGGAGGAATATGATGACGCTCTGATTGAGTACTTTGGCTTTTCTCTCGCCCCCCCCCCCCTTGGCGGTGTCGGCCAAGGTTTGCGTCCGTGTAAGTATTGCGCTCGCCAAGGGACGCGCACGCCGGCCGGCGGTGCTTTGTGCAAAATGAGCCCCGGTCTCCCCCCCCCTGTTCCGTTACTGGCCCGCCCCCTTGCCAGGATGGCTTTAGAACGGAGAATATCTTGGCGGGGGAAACGGTGCGGCATTGTCGGCATGTGGGACTGGCCGGTGGATTAGGGGCCGGGGGCAGAGAGCCAGGTCTTACTGTACCAGTCCAGTGCAGATGCAAAGGGTGGGGTCCTTATCAGCATGTGCTCAAAGGGCCAGCGGACTGCCTGGGCTGGTGTGCTGGGCTGGGCAGGAAGACAAAGAGGTAGGAGCGTTGATCTACGACACGGAATGAACGGTAGCATGAGAAACGACAGGGAAGATCCAATTGGCTTGGGCTTCGCTGAATGATCGGTTGTGCGACCGGATCGGATGGCACGCTGGACGATCGTCACCAGCGAGGGGTGAAGCTGTGAAAGCGCTTCCAGAGTCAAGCTAGTAGGCGACTTTGGTACCGCGGCTGATACAAGGACGCGCAACTTATTCTACTGTTTGGGGTGCCCTCTTCCCGAGGGCCTGAGCTGTCTCGAGCTGATGTCACCGGCGATCAAGGACGCAAACAACATCCTATGAGATGGGCTGTCTGTCTGGGAAGATTGCAGGTGCAAAGCGGAAGACGATCCTAGATGAGCGGGAACGCTGAAGCTCAGACAATTGGCTGATTATTTGCTTGGCTACCCTGACTGGAAACGACTTGGCTCGTCGCTGCTATCCACCAACGAGCCACGAGACGAGGTAGAGATTGCCATCGTTGATTTCCATCGGGAATCGAGGCGATTTGATCACAATTGATGCAAACATGTGCCGTTTTTCGGCGAGCCCGCTTTGGTAGCACCTTTGATGGAGCACGATGATTGTAGGGAGCCTGACTTCTGGCTTGCGGCCATTCGACAGTGAAGTAGTGGTTGCACGGTGACGGAAAACTTTCGCAAGCTCCTGGTATAGCCGTTGGGGCTAATGCGCTGCCATGGTCTTGTGCAGGTAGGTGAACGCTGTTGGGGCCAAGAAAAAATCTTGCACATTGTCTTGGGTCGTTGTCATATTCTCATGGCTCCTGTGGCAACAAGAGCATTGGAGCTGGCGCGTCCCATTCCCTCATGTCGAATGGACGACAGGTTGATGGCTGACGAAGCACCCTTCCTCCTTCCTGCTCCTGTGGTGCAGGCGAGACATCACAATCGGCGGCCCAGGAACGGGGCCGAGCTAAGGGCCCCCCAAACTTGAGCTAGGGGCCGCCCCGTAGGGCCAAGGCTCGTGGAGATGAGAGGCATTACTTGCCTCACTTGGCTTAGAGCCCGCTTGGTGCATATATGTACGTCTTATTGCACCGGCAGCCAGCGGATATCCCCAGATGCCACGTCCGGCCGGATTGTTGCTGGGTTCTCACGAGTACGAGAGGGAGAACGAGCGGCTCGATGTGCGTCCAAGCTCAGTTGTGGAGTTGGTTTGGTTATTAAGCTAATGTTTTCACGGCCATTGACTGACTTTTCCTGATGACGCGAGTTAACGGACGGAAGATGCAGGAAGCGGGCGTAATTCCCTTTTTTTGCCGCCGTCCCGATGTGTCTATTGTCTCGTCTCGCGCGAACCCCTGTCCTCCCCCAATATCTTCGAGGTCTAAATCAAGCTTATCAACGGCGTTGATTCATGAGTCCCACACGCCCTGGCAGCATGGTGAGTGAGCGTGCGCATCGATGCTGAGGATTTTTCCCATGAGGTCTGGTTGCCGCGCCCATCCTCGCGTCCCTGACTGTGCTGCGGTGTGCCGCCAGCGGCCTTCGTATCGAATTGCCTACTCAGCAAATGTCGCCGAAGGCTTAGGCGCCGTTCCGTCTGGCGTCTTTTGCTAGAGGGAACGCCGCCGCCTTTTTTTTCAGCTCGTGATTCAAGCCTCCGGGCAAGTTGGCTGGTGCAATATGCGTAATGCGTCGTCGCATAGTCAGTCATAGGCCGGGATATCAGTGTGCCATGGACGTATCCACTCGTGATTCGGGCCATCATGAACGGGATCTGTCCCAAGACCTCTTGGCCACGTATCCGGAGCATTTGGGCAACCGATTCAATGTCTTGGGTCTTGGATGTTGGGACGGTCGGCTCTTGGTCCCTTGGCAACTTGACCCTTGGCGCCGTTGATGCAGATGCAAAGGCAGATGAGGCCCATGTTACTGCTATCTTCGGGCTTCTCGTGCCTGCTCGTCCAGCTGCCTGCCTTGGTTACGCTGCTTGGCGAATCCACCGTTTTCGCACCTTCCCGTCCCTTGTCAGTCACTTCTTTCCTTCCCATTCACTGTCTAGGTAGCTTGTTGTCGGGGGCCGCCTGCCGTTCTGCTTGCTTCCTTCCCCTTGTTCGACCCAGCTATCTGACCTGTCTCGTCTGCTGTTGTGCCTCGTGTTTTCTGTTTTCACCCTGGCTGTTCCTTTCTTGACCTGCCTGCGCCTGCCTTGCCTTGCTGCTTAGCATCTTGGCCAACCGCGGGATCCCGATCGTATCCCCAGGCCGCTTCACCTCGATGACCTTGATCTTCACCTGGCCTGATTTGATGCTCGTTTCCCTCTTCTTTCCCCCTCCTCCCCTTCCTTCCTTCTCCACCATCGAGCTCCAAGATACGCCGCTCCTGAGCCATTATCAAGTGGCTTGACGTCCCTTGGAGCCGCTTCCTGGACAAAACTCCTCTGACCAACGCCAACACTCGCTTTCACCTCGACTCTCGTTTTCTCGTCTCAGGGAAAAGGTCACTATTCCCCAGCCCAAGTCGATCGCCGTCTTTCCTCCCCCTGTTGTCCCGGCTGCGTTTGTCTCCCCGCCATCGACCGTTTCGACTGTGAGCAGCCCTCTTAGTCTTTGATGCATCATCAGTAAACAAGGTCCTTGCACCCCCAGTCACTCGCTTTTTCTTGGACTTCATTGTACCAAGCACAATCACCGAACTCTAGACGCTTCTATCCATTGCTCGAGATCTATCACCATCCCTGGACGTCTGAGGCTCGGGAGTCACCCAGAACAGCCTCCAGACCAGTTACTGGATACCAGAATCGGCCGGCAACTTGACCAAACCACGCCCTCGCCCGTGGCTCAACTCGGTATTCAGCTCACACTCGTTTGCTCCGTGTCTCGTCGTCTAAAGGCCGTTACACCGCATCGGATACGACCAGCTATCGCCACCGTCACCACTCACCGAAGCGTCCGCCATGTCAGCCCCTTGGACGCCTGGCCACACTCGGGGTAACACCCCCGATTCTGGGCCTGGTTCGAACCCGTTTGAGCGTAATCCATTCGACACTGACGACAGTGCCGCCGTTTCCCTGGCAAGCAACTCGACATTCACTGTGGTACGCTCGTACTCCACGCCGGAGTGCATGCAGTGCGTAAGACAATAGCTGACTCGACGCAGAATGTCATTGACCACGATCGCAACAGTCATGAAGGTCTTGCTGGCCAGCAAGCCTCTCGTAGACCTGGAGCTGGCGCCGTTCCTTCGCATCACCGCTTAAGTCGACCAGAAATCGTAGGTGCCGTCATTCAACACCAGGGTGCGGGCATGATATTGACCTGCGCATAGGAACCCTCCCCGCTGGGCAGAGCACAGCTTGGCGTCAATGACGAGAGCGAGAAATACGAGAACCCCTCAACCTCCACTCTCAGCGTGGGCCAAGGCCACCTAGCAGGTCGTGCGGATGGCGCCATCATACAGGTCGATCCTGAGAAGATCACTGAGAAGCATGTCACTGCTTTGCGGCCTGGGTCCGACCTTCCATTCCACAAGCGCATGTATCACAAGTTTAGGAGAACATACAGCCCGATCGAGCCTCCACCCCTGGTCTTACCCGTCTGCCCGACTGACGAGGAGAAGATCATGTATACCAGCACCAACCGAATTTTGCTCTACGTTTTCGGCGTCGTCTCCTTCCTTGCTCTTGGCGCGGGTATGTGGCTCTTCACCTTGTCTTCGCCTGTCTTTTACTGGTATGGAGTCTTTGCTGGTTGCATGTGCCTGTACCTCCTGATCTCCTATGGTGTTGGTATCGTTGGCCGCGATTGGGACTACCAATCACATCTCGGCCGCGTTGAACGGTTCCCCATCAATGACCTCAATGCCGCGACGGTCGACATATACCTTCCCATTTGCAAGGAACCGATAGAGATTCTTGAGAACACTTGGAACCACATTGCTCGCATGGATTGGCCCGCCAACAAGCTCAAGGTTTACGTCATGGACGACGGTGCGCAGGAAGAGGTTCGTCTGCTGGCTGAGCGGTTTGGATTCATCTATTCTGTCCGCGAGGATAGACCCCGTCTTCGCAAGGCAGGAAATCTGCGATGGACTTTCGCGCGGACCGACGGCGAATTCTTCTGCATTTTTGATGCCGATTTTTGCCCACGCCCCGACTTCGTCAAGGAACTAATGGTTGAGCACCTCGATGACGAGAAGACCGCGATCGTCCAGAGCCCTCAGTTCTTCCGTGTTCTGGATGAACAGACTTGGGTCGAGCAGGGTGCCGGTGCTACACAGGAGCTGTTCTACCGTGTTGTCCAAGTCAACCGCAATCGTTGGGGTGCTTCGATTTGCGTTGGCAGCAATGCCATGTACCGCCGTGCTGCTCTCGTTGACGTTGGAGGCACCGCCGAGATTGGTTTCTCCGAGGATGTCCATACAGGCTTTGGCGCGGTAGACCGTGGTTGGAAGGTCAAGTATATCCCTCTCTGCCTCGCCACCGGCGTTTGCCCAGACTCGCCTCGGGCCTTTTTTTCCCAGCAGATGCGATGGGCTCGTGGCAGCACGACGCTGTTGACGAATGGCCACTTTTGGGTCTCGAAACTTACCTTCATGCAGAAGGTTTGCTATCTGTCAGGTACGTATTCCATCTTTCTTGAATCCGCAAACATGCTCATCTCGACAGGGTTTCTATACTACTCTGCCGTTTCTGCCAACATCTTCCTTTCTCCCATCGCGGGTACCCTGCTGCTCGCCATTCGTCCCGAATGGTTCAAGTTCTGGAACCTGCATTCGCAATCCCCTCCATTCTTTATGGCGTCATCTTGATGCCGCGTTTGGTCTAAAGCCACCTACGGCTTCAACGTCCAACACACCATGACTGTCCAGAGCTACGCCTATCTCACTGCGATCAAGGACCGCGTCTTCAACATTGAGCTTCTCTGGGCTGCCTCCGGCGATAGCAAAGCCCATAAGAGCAACAAATACCGCAACATGCGCCTTCTCTGCATCATCTGGACCCTGATCGTCACTGGTTCCATGATTGGTGTGGTGACATGGCGACTGGTCACCGGCTTCACTTGGTACCACACGATCCCATTGATCCTTATCAACGTCTACAACTTCTTCATTCACCACTACTTCATGTTCTGCAATTGGTAGACGTCATTTCCCATCTGAAGGAGACGTCATCACTGGATACCCCATCAGAGCGTTCGCTCTATCGACACGACACTCGACGCATATACACACGGCTGAATAACTTCATACACGAAACACCGATGCACTTGCAATAGGCAACAAACCTTGGTTTTCATTCTTGGAGGACGATTCCTCATTAACTTCACACTTGGACACTGGACATCAGGACAAGTCTGCCCTGCATTCTCTAAGATCCCCGGCGGGCATAGACACGGACAACGGTGGCGTACGTTTGCACTTGATTCGTCTCTTCAGAGTCTATGGCCAAACGCGCGCACACATGGCACAACCACAAGCACGAATACCTTGTCACACGAGACGGGTATGGCGTCAATCGCATATGTATAGAAAAGATGAGGCCCATTCTGTTCTTTCGATCATCCCAAAGGCAGAAGCGTAGCGCATGGCCCAAAGTTGCTTTGTAAAGCATGATAGATAGATTTGTTGGTCACAATCCGCCACTTTCTAGGCGCGAGATGTGGTGTTTAATAACGTACATAACACCAACCCTAACCTTATGTATCTCTAAGGAGTGCAAAAGTCCATTTTCGTTGAATGGCATGCGGCGCTATGCCCTGGTTTAGCTGTATGGTCAGCCCCCGGACGAGACGGTGAACTGAACCCACCACGGCGGGTGGGTGCAATCTGTTCTATCCACAGTGAGCCCTCGCCCACCGAATCATTCATTCAGAATCTGTTCTGCCAACGCCGCCTTCGCCCTCAGGGGGGATGGCGCAGTTGGGAGCGCGTTAGACTGAAGCCAACTTCAGGAAGTCAATCTAAAGGTCGCTGGTTCGATCCCGGCTCACCCCAACATCTTAAGGTCTTCAGACCACCGATCTGTTCTCTGAACAGCTCAAACCTTTTGCCACCTGCTCGGTAGGTTTGTTGGTGGTCATCATTAGTGTCGTATCCAGTCAAAGGAATAAATAGCATGTATGTCTGAAGGAAGGAGCTGGCTGGGTAGGTCGGTTGTTCACCTGGGGCTTCTCAACTTTTCTCGCCCCTGCCCACAGCTTTCTTCCCTTGCGTGTAGAAATAATCAAATGGCGAGCTTGCGTGGGAAGGAGTCGAGTCCTGTCATGATGCGAGGAACAAACTATGCGGCGCCAGTTTACGCCTCAATCACTCAGCTCTGCCCAATATCGCATTTACACTTATTTCTCGGACCCTAGGAACAGTAACGAACCGCATCATGGAGGCGTCCACCGTCACCTGTGGCTTGTTACTCGCCGTGTGTGCTCTAGTTGTCACGGCTGGTCCCATGGCACCCTTCGGAAAGCTTATCTGTATCGCGTGCGGGGAGCACGAGGAGCAGGAGACGGAGAAGCACGCGCGCGACAGGCGCAACAATGCCATTGCTATGGGATACACCCGCACTCAGGAGACGAATCAAGTCCCACTGAGAGTGAAAAACGACCTCAAGACTGGTATGGTCGATACTCACGATCTCAAGGCTAAGGTCCAGGTTGAAATGAGTGAGAAACCTTGTTCTTCTGAAGAGGTCTGAGGCTGCTTCCCAGTAGATGTGTTTGGAGCTGGGTACGCTTGGGAAACTGGCTTACATGACATCTGCAGCACTTGTCACTGGAGCCTTGACGTGAGGATAAGAGAAGAGGCTATCTTTATCCCTTGCGGTTATTGTGCGGGAGGAGGCACTCAGCCTGGCCAAGGCCTTGTCGGCAAGGCCTGATGCAAGTGCCATCGGCAACAATCAAGGGGAGATAGTCAGGAACTAGGACTGACGTTATATCGAAACAGTGAAAAGATCAACATGAAGCCGAGTATTTACATCAGCCAATGTGCCTAGATATGAAGTTTGACTTGAACTCGTAGCCTCATAGGGTGTAGCCAGGGTTGCATTGCTTGACTGCGGCCACCTAAGGAGCTGCCGCCACACGACTTAGAACCTGCCGACCACGGGGTTTTGGATACCATATACTCGATGGGTTAAGACACAACATGAAATGGGAACGGCAGGGAATTTCTTCCGGCCTCTGAGATACGATACATTCACCCTGTTCAATTTCACCTCTACTGGAAGATCGAATCGTGTCCTGCCAGCTTACGGCAAGGAAGCCTTTCGGGGAGGTGCTCGTACCAAAGCCAAATAGTAAGCTCCTCGGACAGCTTCCGCCCCTTTTCCCATCTCCGGGAGTCGTCGCCCTGAACGCTGGCGTTGCAAGCTGTGCCGATGAATCATTAGCGTGAGGTGCTCACTGACCACTTCTTTTATCGACTTTGCCCCGTACCACCTCAGGACACCACCCAAAGCTTACCGCCTCGGTTTTCCGATATTTTCCAGAATACGTGAAAGAAACTTGAACCTCGACATCGCCAAAGAGTTACTTGTGTATCAAGACACCATGGCGGCTTCAGTGACACCGAAACGTCCAGTTCGCATAGGTGGAGCATCTGGTGGCTTCACTGACCGAGTTGCCGGCATCAGGCGCCTTGCTGCCGACCCTAAAGTCGACGCCGTTGTCGGGGATTGGCTTTCCGAGAACGTCATGACCGGCTATGGAGCGGGAAAGGCACGAAAAGTCCAGTCTGACAAAGCAACGACGAAGCTGCCTCTTGAAGAACGGAAGAAGACGGCTTACTATGCCAGTACATTCCTCCAATGCCTTGAGCCAGCGATCTCTGAAGTCGCCCAAAACGGCGCCAAGTTGGTCGTGAACGCTGGAGCAAGCGACACGGAACTTCTGGCCGAGGTGGTGAACGACATGGTGCTGGGAGGCGGCTTCGACACGAAGGTCGCCTGGGTCGAAGGCGATGATGTGACCTTATCCTTCAAGCGCCTGGTTGCTGAGGGGGCGACTTTCAGAAGTATCACAGATCAAAAGACCTTGAACGAATGGGGATTCGACCCCATTTGCGCACAAGCATACCTAGGAAGTTTGGGAATCGCTGAAGCTCTACGACAAGGAGCAGATCTTGTCATTTGTGGCAGGTCAGTATATTCTGGCCTTTCTACATCCTGTGAAAAACAAGCTGATGCAAGCTAGGGTCTCCGATGCTGCACCTTCGATCGGAATCGCAGCTTGGTGGCATAACTGGGGAGCGTCCGATTTGGACGAGCTGGCAGGGGCTCTGGTCGCAGGACACCTAATCGAGTGCTCGGCTTTTGTTACTGGTGGCTACTACAGCCGCTTCAAAGACCTAATGAAAGCGAAGAAGCATCTTGACCTGGGGTTCCCCATAGCCGAGGTGTTCTCAGATGGGACATGCACCATCACAAAGGAGGATATGTCCAATGGTATCGTCAACGTCGAGACGGTGACATCGCAGCTTGTTTACGAAATCAATGGGCCGCTCTACTTCAATTCTGACGTTGTGGCTGTCCTTGAAGGTATTACTCTGGAGCAAACTGGTAAGGATCGAGTCCGTGTCTGTGGCGTCAAAGGCCTACCCCCTCCTCCAACAACTCGGTGCGGGATCACCGCTCACGGAGGTTACCAAGCTGAGTGGCACTTCTATCTCGTCGGACTGGACATTGAAGAAAAGTGTAAGTGGATGGAAGAGCAGGCGAGATTTGCCATCGGGGAGGAATTGATGAATCGATTCACCATGGTCAAGTTTCACGTCCACGGCAGTTCGCCAGACAACCCCCGAAATCAAGAGCTCGCAACGGTTGATTTCCGAATATTTGCACAGGCTCAGGACGCCAGCTTGTTCGACCCTACGTCAGTTGACGGCTTTGCAAGAAAGCTTTACGAAACGGTACTGCAGTCTTGCCCGGTAAGCTCTGCCGCCTCGACTATTACAAAAGCGATGCTCATGGCTTTACAGGGAGTTTCACGTTCGAATGATATTAGGCAATCGGCCGCGAAGAGTTACTGGGAGTATTTCGTCACATCAATTCCGCAGTCGGTTTGCGAGCATCGGGTACATTTTCTGTACGACGACAAACCGAGTATAAATATACCAGCACCGCCCATAACTTGCGATTACGGGCCCCAAGACTCGTATGAGACGGAGGATCCAGTTCCTTGCGGCAGTTTTGGAGCCACAATCGAAGCGCCACTTGGCTATATTGCGCTCGGTCGCTCTGGAGACAAAGCATCTGATGCTAATGTTGGTTTTTTCGTAAGCGGCGCCGAAGAATGGGACTGGCTGCGGTCTTTCCTTACAATCAACAAGATCCAAGAGCTGCTAGGTCCCGAAGAATATTACGGTAGACGGATTGATCGTTTCGAAATGAAGAACATTCGAGCTGTCCATTTTCTGCTCAAGGATCATCTTGACAGAGGCTACAACTCAGGGTCAAAGCTGGATACTCTGGCGAAAAATCTCTGCGAGTATCTGAGGGCGAAGCATGTTCCAATCCCCCGCAAATTCCTTCAAAAGGGGCACCTCTAACGGGAAGCTTGCGAAGGCGGCCCGGGCAATGCGCCCTTCGGCCTGATGTCACGGACAGTGCGGGGCAAATGGCCTCCTTTTCCCAGCCGCCGGAAACCATCTGCCGCACCATCTATCTTACCTAGTCGTATGTATGCAACCTTCGCGCTCCGCTTCTATTTATCGTCCAGCTGGCAAGCATTCTTTGCGTGACCTCGATTCTCAGCTTTTGTATCCATCATGTTCTCCCCTACTCAGTTTGCAGGCAAAGTCATTGCCCTCACGGGTGCAGCATCAGGTATTGGCCTGGCAACATCTCACCTCTTGGCTGGCCGCGGTGCCCGTCTGGCCCTTGCTGATGTGCATGAAAAAGGTCTTCTAGAGGCTAGAAACGCTATTTTAGAGGCTCATCCGAATTCAGAGCTTTCCATCACTGTTCTCGACGTTCGTGACTGTGATGCCGTCGAAAGATGGACGACAAATACCGCCTCGCACTTCAGTCGACTTGACGGGGCCGCCAACCTCGCTGGTGTAATACCGAAGTCAATCGGAATCAAACCTCTTTCAGAACAGGACCTTGAGGAATGGGACTTTGTCCAGGGCGTCAACCTGACAGGTGTGATGCATTGTCTCCGGGCGCAGCTGAAGACCATTAGCGACGGTGGGTCCATTGTCAACGCGAGTAGCATCGCCGGCTTGACAGGCAGAGCAAACAATGCAGCCTACACAGCAAGCAAGCATGCTGTAGTGGGGCTGACAAGAAGTGCGGCGAAAGAGGTCGGCGCGAGGCAAGTGAGAGTAAATGCTATATGCCCGTGAGTCTCTACGCCCTGTTCCTGGCTACACCTTGTTGATCTAATGATAGGGGTCGCATCGACACGCCCATGCTGAGGAGCGCGAACTCAGGCCCTGTAGGACCTGAGATTTCTATGGCAAGGCTTGGGACGCCAGAAGAGGTAGCAAAGCTCATTGCCTTTCTCTTGAGCGATGAATCCACGTACATATCCGGGACTGCAGTGAGCATCGATGGAGGATGGAATTGCTAGCCAGACTCTACATCAAGCAATCTTTCTCTTCTCCACGTTTCTAGGACACTGGCTTTTGGTTTTGTTTTACTTTTCATGCTCATGATGGTGACTTCGAAAAGCTTTCTCCCCCTCAGTTGAAGGAATCATAGGTCAATCTGCTTTTCATGTAGACACGTATCTTGATTGTCTAGTCGCATCCCTGACTCTTAAAATTGAGTCCGCCTAGAAGTCATGTTACTCCCTCATTACAAATCTTATATAAGCTCGTTATAGAGTAACTCCGACATCTCTTTTTTGGAATGCGAAGTAGAGTGCTGGACCTGTTGGTCCTGAGAGTCTCAGTATTGATACTGTTATAATGACTTTAATCACCATGTTCTCATACATACGACCATACCTACTGGAGAACTCGGGATCCCGTCCGCTCTCCCATAGATAAGCCAGTAAGGGTCGGACTAGTAGTTGGGTGGGTGACCACCAGCGGATCCCTGATGTTGTATGTTTCTGCCTTGTTGTTTTGCGCTTCTGCACGAGGACCCGCGCCATTTAATCAAACGGGAGGGAGTGGACCATCTAACCGCTGGCCCATGGCTACCGTAATTTTGCGGACATGTAGGTGTCATACCTTGTCTTATGCTATATTCTAGGTCGTGAGCTCCTCAGGCACTCCGCAAGTAGGACAAGCTCTCTTCTCAACAGCTTACCAGAGCTGTTTTTGGGCAGTGATTCGACCAAGAACAGCCCACCTCTGAGCCTCTTGTAAGATGCAACCCTCTCATCCATGAAAGCACTGAGACATTTCATCGTCTGACTCTTATCTCTGTTACTCATGGCCGTGGAGAGGGAAACAAACCCGACTGGGAGTTCTTCCTGCGTAGCATTGTCCCTCACGCCACAAACACCAGCATCTGAGACGGAGGGATGGGAAAGCAGCACTTCTTCGAGCTCAGCTGGAGCAATTTGATGGCCCTTGTACTTGATGAGTTCCTTCTTTCGACCGGTGAGCCAAAAATAACCGTCCTGGTCGACATGAACAATATCGCCAGTACACATCCATCCACCCCTAAATGCTGCCGCAGTCTCAGCTTCGTTGTTCTTGTACTCCATGAACACTGACGGCCCTCTAATGAGGCACTCTCCATCCACGCCCTCTTGGACATCGTTGTAATTTTCGTCCACTATGCGGACCTCCATGCCCGCAGCTGGCTTTCCGACGCTGGCACCTTTTTGACCACCGCGAGTGTTGCGGAGGAGCGTCACGGTTGCCTCGCTCATGCCGTAGCCGTTGAGAACTGTTGCTTCTGGGTTTAAGATTTGTTGGAGTGCCACAATCGTATCTCTGGATAATGGTGAGCCAGAGCACATGATGGTGTGAACGGCACTCAAATCAAGATTCTTAATCTCTGGGTCTTTGGTCATCCTCACAGCCGTCGCAGGCACAAGGCGCAGTATGTTGGCCTTCAGCTCAGCGGCTCTTTGGAGATAAGGATGATACTCAAACCGTCTCATCGGTTGCACGTAATTGCCGATCCAGGCGGGTGCTAGAACACCGGATACAATGCCATAAATATGTGCAAACGAGGGGAAGAAAGGCTCACGGCTGGTCGAGGTGTGGGTGAAGGGGTTTGTTGCCCGCACGCTGAGGAGTTGCGCGATGAGGTTGTGGTGGGATAAAACGACCGCCTTGGGCTTGCCAGACGTGCCGGAGCTGAAGCACATGCCTGCCGGTATTTTGGTATTGTCGCCATTCGATATGCCGAACGGATACATGGGATTAACCGCAGCGTTGCGAATGTCACGAGGATACTGGCTGTCCATCAGTATGAGCACACCAGTTGGATACGTGGATGGGGCTCACCCTGAGATGGTCCGGTCCAATGGTTGAAGAACTCCCAATGGCTATGATCGTTGGCTCCGTGGACCAATGTAATTCTTGTATCGCAACCTTGATCTTTGTAATCTGTTCCGCATCCGCTGCTATCAACTTGGGTCGGGCGACAGAGAAATAGTGGATGAGTTCATGACTTGTAGCTTGCGGGTTGATGCCTCTGCAGTTTGCTTTTAGAGATAGCTCAGGAAGAGAGTGTAGAGCAAAGGGACACTGACGAGAAGCACGCCCCAGCCCAAAGAATGGCATGCGCAAGAGAGGCCCACAGAGCCGAATTAGTGGCTACGATGCACACGACATCGCCTACCTTCAGGCCCAGCATCTCCCTTAGACATGCCGCATCGAAGGCAGCCTTGGATCGAAGCCCAGCGTATGTGACCTTCTGATCTTCATCGCCAAAGTCTTGCCAAATGACTTTCTCCGGTGACACGTCATCCGGATTCGTTTGAATGAGGAACTGGGAGACAGAAAGGTTGGTTGGCACCTTAATGTTAGGGTAGGGTGAGTAATAGATATGGAGGTCGGCCATTTTGATTCGATCAGTGTGTGAGAGCATCTATTGATTATGATTCCGTCCTTTTAAAAGAGAGTCTATGAAGGAAGCATATGTTGGTAGCGAGGATGATTTGCGTCTCATTGACGAGGCGTAAGCTTGGATGAATTTCGAGTGCTCTAGATGGACACATTTGCTGGCCCTCAGTGGGACAACTGGTGCTGGAAGGTTAATCACTGACTAGGTAAGGTGCTGATCGCACTGTGGCGACTCCCCTAAACGTTGCTGGTCGGGAATCATACTCCGCGATTTGGTTCGTCGGCTCTCACGGGCAGACCAAGGAGCTGTGATGAATCAGTAGCGCGAATTGACAGCTTCGAATAAACTGGGACGCGGACAGCGGCGTCAGTCATGTGAGCTCCTGCTTTAGTCACACAATCTTCGGGTGTGTAAAGAGGAAAGCAGGGCTGATCTCCAGTTCAGGATGCAGTATCCTCGTCGACGAGTTTGGAAATTTCTGGGAATTGTTGCCGGAAAACGTCGCCCACGGTCCAATTCCTGAGTTGTCGCAGGTGCTCTTCGTAGACAGGATTAATCGACAGCTCAGTACTGCCCGAATCGGGCGCTATGCAGGCTATGACAACGAGTGAAGGATCGTAAGTCCAGCTTACGCCAAAGCTTGAGCTGTAGGGGGCAGCCCAGTCATCAAGAGTGATGTCGGGGTGTGCGATCAGGTATTCGCGCGCGCGTGGCCTGTGGTTTTGTTAACAGGTGCTCCTTGCTCCGATGAACTGAAGAGACGTCCTCACCAAGGTATGCGATCGATCCAGGCTGCGTGGGGAGTTTCGCGTTGGCTTGGGGTCGGACGCAGCCATTCGGGCATCAGATCCCAACTCGGCTGATCTAGGAGAACCATCCACTGGGCCAAATGTTAGCAAGGCATGCAATGATTCAAGGTGGGCACCAAGCTTCAACCGACCTTGAGAAGCAGTGCCATGTTCCAGAATACAGCGACCTGCTTTGGCAGAGTCTCAATCTCGGGATATGACCGCACTATGTCCGCTACGACATTGCTAATGTCATCCTCCGTGCTCCTGTCAGGTTCGATTAGTGAGCAGAGTTTGGGCTTCAGAGAGTACGATGCCGCCCTTTCCACCACGCTCGTTGCAGATAGGAAGTTGTCAGTCCTGACAGAAGCAATAAAGCCTTGCAGTATCTCATCTGCGAGGCACGTGGATTGTGCGTTCTTGGGTGCTGTCTCCCAGGGCTCGCGACTCGTGATCAGTAGTTCACTCGAAGGTGTCGTGCTAGCATCTCGCCCCATCAAGCTGAGCTGGAGCGCGGCATTCTGTGTCCGCAGCTGCGAATTCTCGACCTCAAGAGTAGCCACACGAGCATGGAGCATGGCTGTCTGCTGGCTTCGCTCCTCGACGGCGCGGGTAAGCATTGCGACTTGTTCCGTCAAATTGTGAATCGCCCACTTGTTGCGATCTCGCATGGCCTGTTGAGATTTGCGGTCCCGTGCTCGCTTTTTCTGAAGCTCAACATCTCGAGATCCGATACTTGAGATCCCATTTTGGGCAGCTGTCGAATCGACGGAGGAGGGCGATGTCGCCGAATTGATTGATGGGGCCACGGAGTTCCGACGAGGGGGCTTGGGCGTCCGGGAGGCATCCATGTTGCGCGAGCAATGAATCACTGCCCAGCAACATTATTGTGTCAAATAGATACTCTTGGCAGACGGATTTTGCGTGTGGAATTGTGCTCTGGGCTCACGACTGGCTTCAGGTTCTCGAAGCTTGGGACTGACTCGACTTTAACGGAATTAGGCCGTAGTACAGAGGCGGGGTAGAGGGGGCAACCGGCACAAGCCACGGCGCGCCTACAGTGGCTTTAGCGTCATGACGGCGTCTTGCAGGGCAGCGCAACGCACAGCGGCTGATGATGCCGTAGCCAGCCGGCCGGTGACTTTACTCAACTCAATGGTCACGTCTCACACCAACGCGAGCTCCATGAACGATGATTTACTAATCTGATATCAAAAGTTTATCGTTCAGCTATCTTCCAAACATAATACCTTGCGCGGTGTTCCCTGCTGCGCCGTGACGTGCACAGCTTGGGACAGCTAGGCACCTTCCTGGATCTCCCTTGATTCCCGACGAGGATCATCGTCAACCGTTTTCGCCTCCAATTCTGGCTTCCTCTTCCCATCTCCCATTCGTCTTTCAACACGGTCTGTTAGGTGCTTCTGCGCGTCCTTCGAGAATAGGCAACCGACTATGGCATGCACCGAAACCAAGGCTTGCAGATACACGTCTGGATGCTGTGATAGCTACAGCAGACAGACGCACAGCTCTGATCGAGTCGGTGATACCTGGAAAGT